TTTTTTTTAATAACAATTCATATAAAAAAATACACTTGTACACTTAAAAACAAGTTAAAAAAACTCCGAAGTATATTTCAACTTGTAGGGATTCAAGGAACCGAGTAAATGGAGGGGTAGGATGCATAAATTGCTCAAGCTAGCTGCCAACAGTAACAACATATAACTTTGCCACATCACTTTCAGACAATTTTTAGGTAAAGGGCGATACCATTAAATTCTCTCTACTATATCTAGAGAGAAACCCTGTTGTAATTTATTAGAAAGTAAGTAATAGTTTTATCATAATGTTGTTTTGCATTTTTTCGTGCATAACAATTAATCATTGATGCCAACCGGCCTGTGACTCAATTGGTTGGCCCCAAGCTTTAGGGTTTGGGTGAGGTGGAGATCAGGACTTCGAGTTCTGCTACCGCCGTGAACTCCACCAACTTGTGACTTAATGATCACGCGTCTTAAATGAGGGGTGGAAAGTTCACTTTCCTGGAAAAATTCAAGCTGCTAACAAACTAACTCTACTAACTTCTTAACCATTTACCTGATCAAAAAAAAAAATAATAATTAATCATTGACGAAGGATAAGCTTCCCCCTTCAATAATTAAGTGTAAGACTATAGCTACATGTAGGATGGATTGTAGTCTATTTTTTTTTTTTTTTTTGTAATTTTATACTTCATCTTCTAAATGTGTAGTTATTGTTGCATGTTAAATTGTTAATGTCATATCTTTTTAATGTAATTACTTATTAGACTCTTATATTATATTTTGTTTCAAAAATTTATATTTTTTTGTTTTTTAATAAATTAAAAGATAAAATAATTAATTAAAATAAGAAAATCTGATATTAATAATTAAGGATGCGATAATAATATATAAAAAAAAATAAGTATCAACATTTCACTCAATTTTTCTTTCAAAATAACTTTTGCTTTTTTATTTTTATTTCCAAAAATAAGTGTCAATTTTTCATTTTTCAACCCACAATTTCCACCGGTCTGTAACTGACGCCAAATGGCTTCAGGGGTGTTTGGTTTGGACTTTTCTGAGAAAAAATATGGGAAAGTGGAAAGTCAAGCTTTTAAAACTTAGCTAAATGGTATAAGAAAATGAGTTTTTTAACACACATTTTAATAGGACAATATAATTGAATATAATTAAATATAAATAATGATTTTCTAAAACCAATATAACTAACTATATTCAAAAATAAACAATTACTAGATCTGAAAACTTTTCTTCTGCGACATTATTTCAGGAAACTATTTCTAAGATATTTAACCACTTACAGATTATTGTAATAAATTGTATCTCTCTTATTCCGAAAAAATTACTTTTCAAACCAAGCTAAAACTATAGATATGTTTGCTTTCTCGAATATTTTTTAAAGGAAAGTCTAAACCAAACAGCCCATAAACGTTAACTGCAGGGGCTAACTGCCACCTTCCATGTTCATGGTAATACAGACTATTGAAACTTTTTTCAAAATATGTGAAATTATAGAGGGGAGGGAGGTTAAGGAATTGAAAGATATTATATAATTTCATTTTCTTTCCTTTTTTTCAGTCATATAAAATAATTTTCATCCCTCTCCCTCTTCTCATCTTTTTTCATATTAAATATATTATTAAAAAAAAACAATCAGATCATTTCATCTCATAAAATGAAAAGAAATTAAAAGAAAACTGAAGATATTTAACTTCAGTTCAGAAAAAAGAAAAAAGAAAAAGAAAAAGAAAAAAAAAACTGAATTTACCTCTAGCCCTTTGTCTTCAATGTTCAATCAGTCTGAAATATCAGAAGGGTTGAAAACAGTGTCTCGAGTGTGTTACTATTCAGTGAAAACGACCAAACACTTCTGCCTTTTTCTTACGCTGTTCTGTTCAATTGTGTCAGCAAGATTTTGTGAGATATAGTACTGTAGATTCACGTGAAGGGAAAGGCAATTTGTCTCAGGTTCTCACGTATTTTTGGGTTTAATAATGTTCCAGTTCCTCTACTTGTTAAATATACATTCAAATCAGACCAGAATACAAAGCTTCGAATTCTAACCTTGCCTTTCCCTCCCAACAGTCTGTTGAAATAATCAACCATTTCGAAAGAATAAAAAGACAATTTATAATTTAAATTATTAAAAAAATAAATTTTTTAAAATTATAAATTATTTTTATATTTAATAATTTTTATTTCATAATTTAATACAATATAAATTATAAAATAAAGCTAGAGAACTATCACCTAATACTACTAAATTGATTGAAATTCTACCATCCACATATGATATATCTAATGGTTAGGAATCTCTTTTATCATACATCATGCATCATTGACACGACTTGCTCCTCTGTTGCTTGCTCCATGCCCTGTGAACAAAATTAATTTATATCAATCATAATATTTGCATGCAAGGAAAAAAAAAAAACAAAGATAGTGTGATATGGAAACTTCTGTTCATCTTTACTCTCGTGAACAAATTCACAAGCACCAGAACTGCTTTTGATTTCGACCACATTGTCCTTTTCAACCTCTGGCTAGATTCCTCATGCTTCAATATACGGATGTGGGCTTGTTTGGATTTACTTGTCTGGTTGTCTTGTTGTGGCGTGGGGGGTGGACTGAAAAAATTCCTGTTTCTGTATGTAAGAACAATAATTTCGTTTGTTCTATTATCAGGAGCTTTTCAGAGATTCGAGTTTGTCAGTGAGGTACAATAATTCAATCGATA